TCTTTTTTTGAAGAAGTTTTTTGCTATAGGGCACATGCGCTTGCCAGACAGAGACAGACAGAGAGACAGAAAGCGAGAAATCACCCCCCACATGGGGGATGGCCGCACCGCAGTCCCTTCTCCATTCTCCTCTCGGGATCTTGGGCATGCATGCACATGCGCCCGGCATGAGTTTAAGCCACCGGGTCCGGGACTCAAACCGCGGTCAACTACATGGGAGTCCAGCGACATAGCCATTACACTAACTGCTAGTCCCTGTTTTTTTGTTGTTGTTGTTTGTTTGTTTTAAGAGATTTTTACCACAGCAAGTGTGTGCTCACCAGAGAGACAAAGAGAAAGAAAGCGAGAAATTACACCTCCCAGAAGGATGGTCATGCCACAATCCCTTCTTCTCCATTCTCCTCTCAGAATTTGGGGCATGCAGGCACACACGGCTGGCATGAGTTTCAAGACTTTAGGTCCACGACTCAAACGATAGTAAGCCATGTGGAAATTCAGTGTTGTAACCATTACACCATCTGCTAGTTTCAAGATCAAGTACCTTTTTATTTTTTTAGAAAGAGATTTTTGCTATAGGGCACATGCGCTTTCCCGAGAGACAGAGAGACAGAAAGCAAGAAGTCATCCCCTGGGGGAATGGCCACGCCACATTCCCTTATCCTCCATTCTCCTCTTGGGATTTTGGGCACACACACACACATGCCCAGTGTGAGCTTTAAGCCGACAGGTCCAAGACTTGAACCTCGGTCAACTATGTGGGAGTCCAGTAACTTAACCATTACGCTCTCCGCTGACCCCTCAGGTATCTTTTTTGATGAATACTTTAAATATAAATACCTGACACTGGATTCCTGTTTTAAACAACCTATCACATTTTCCCCATGAAACTCGCTTGTATTTTTCAGAGCATGCTCAGTGTTGGTTCTTAATATCTAATTGTCGCCAGGGAGCACTCTAAGCTCATCTCACCTGCAAGCAGAGCATTATTAGATGCTTAGCATTTCTCTGTGGGAGTGCCAGGGTTTCATCATATCACTTATTAAAAAAGAGCTTTGTCTACAATAAGGACTATGAAAATTTAAGGGGAAAGACAAACTTTTTCCCCTGCAAAATAAAAACTTACTGTTTTAGTGTATGCATACGTTGAAATATTATTAAGCCATAAAAAGGAATAGGGTACTAATACATACACCAACTTTGATGAACCCTAAAATCATGCTAAATAATCGTAGTGAGACACAGAAGGCCATGTATTATATGATGCCATTTATGTGAAATGTCCAGAATAGGAAATCTATAGAGACAAAAAGAGTTTAGTGGTTAACTGGGGTGGGCAGAAATGAAAAGCAGCTGCTGGTGAGTACAGAGTTTGATTTTGGAGTGAGGAAAATGTTTTGGAATTGGATCATGGTGATGGTTATATAACACGAAAAATCACTGAATTATACACTTTAAAAAGGTGAGTTTTTCACGCTGGGCACGTGTGCGTGCATGCCCAAGATCCCGAGAGGAGAATGGAGGAGAAGGGCTTGCAGCATGGCCATCCCCCCTGGGAGGGTGATTTCTTGCTTTCTGTCTCTCTGTCTCTCTGGCATGCGCATGTGCCCTATAGTTAAAAAAAAAAAAACTCTCTAAAAAAAAAAGATGAGTTTTGTGGTATGTTAATTGTATGTCACTTCTTAAAAAGCTTACTATTTTAAGATAAATTATCTCCATATGAGACCTTAAAACCACGGTCATCACAAAACTAGGGTACTCACTTCACTATAATGGCATTGCATGGTAAATGGTATCTTCAGTTCTTTGCTGCTGTGTTTCTGGGACTACTACTGATACCTTTTTCAGAATTGTTTTGAGAAGTAAATGTGAAAATACTTGTGAAATACTAACTGTGGTATCTATGCAGTGCCCACAGGGACCCTTTTTTCTCATTACCAGAGAGCATGTGTACTTATCAGAGAGAGACAGTGAAACAGGGTTTAGGGGCGGGGGCGAGAAAGTACCCCCCAGGGGGGTGTAGCCTCACCACAATCCTTTCTCCTCCATTTCTCCATCCTGTCAAGATTTGGGTCATGCATGCACATGTGCCTGGCATGCTTTTCAGGCCACTGGGGCCCAGATTCAAACTGTGCTTGGCCCTGTAGGATCTGGTTCCCTTAACCAGTCCCCACAGTGGGTCTTTTTTTTTAGACATAACTAAACATTCAGATTTGTCAGATCTGTATAGTTTTATTTAGAAGGACATAGGACAGGAAGTGCAGTTTGCTAGCAGCATAGCATCTGGCATTAGTAGAATCAGTCCTCCCAACAGTGCACGCCACAGTCCACACACCTGACCAGTATAATGTTTGGTTCTCCGGGCATCAGGTCTCAGACAAGGGAGTAAGACACGTGTTTTTTTTTTTGGTCCTAAAAGAACTGAAATTTCTTTTTACAGTTCTATAGACAGAATTTCCAAGATCCCTGTAGGGAGCATGTCCACGTATAAGAGACCATACTCGCAGAAGCCCAAAGCCATGGCTTCTTCACCAGATACTTATAGTTCATTTGTACTTTCATCCAAATTGATGCAGTTCACCTATCAGGGTCCATAAGCAGTGTTCCCTAATTAGCACAGCTTATGTGTGTCTTCTCATCAGATTTCTGTTTTTTTTTTTTTTTTTTAACAAATCAAAAAGCTTTTTTCTTATATAAAAATGTTCACATCAGTAGGAGTTAAGACAGAAATACAAACACAACATACAAATCTGTTGGACAAAAACACTGGAGACATGGCTGTGTCCCGTACAACCCGTGGGTATGCCAGAGAGAAAGTGAGAAATCACCCCCCACACACACCCCAGGAGATGGCCACACCACAACCCCTTCTCCTCCACTCTCCTCTTGGGATTTTGGGCATGTATGTACACTCAAGTGTCCAGCATATTTTTCAAGCCACTGGGTCATCAGAATTTTTTTGAAACACAGTCCTGAAAAGTCAAGCAGAGGCCCGGTTTTTGTGCAGTAGGGAAAAGGTTTAATTTAATTTCTTTTTTTTGTTTGTTTGTTTTCTTTTCTTTCCCTTTGGAGAGGTTTTCGCTATAGGGCGTGTGCGCTCGCCAGAGACAGAGAGAGACAGAGAGACAGAAAGCGAGAAATCGCCCCCCGGGGGGCGGAGGGCGATGGCCATGCCGCAATCCCTTCTCCTCCATTCTCCTCTTAGGATCTTGGGCACGCACGCACACGTGCCCAGCGTGAAGCCGCTGCATCCGGGACTTGAACCACGATCAACTACGTGGGAGTCCACCGACATAGCCATTACACAAACTGCTGGTCCCTAATTTAATTTCTTAAAAAAAAAAAAATCCTTTCCCCACTGCCTGATACTTAAAAAGCGTGCAATAAGGAGCCAGCAGTTAGCATAATGGCTATGTCGCTGGACTCCCATGTAGTCGACTGTGGTTGAGTCCCGGACCCGGAGGCTTAAACTCACGCCAGGCGCATGTGCGTGTGTACCCAAGATCCAGAGAGGAGAATAGAGGAGATGGGATTGTGGCGTGGCCATCCCCCCTGGGGGGTGATTTCTCGCTCTCTCTCTCTCTCTCTGTCTCTGTCTGTCTGGCAAGCACACATGCCCTATAACAAAAACCTCTCAAAAAAAGAAAGAAAGAAAGAAAAAAAAAAGCGTACAATAAATGTGAATGGTTATTTTACTTTTACCTGCTCATATAGAACCTTCCAGGTGTCTCAACTCCTATAAGGTGGTCCTTTCTTGATACCTAATGATTTCTGGGAAACTAACCCGTATGTCATATACATAAGTTTATTCTTGCTTGGTTGTTGCTCCACTCCACACTGTTCATCCTTGCTTACTAGTCCCTCACCAGTGTCTCCTCCTGCTTTGCTGAGCTGTCGTCAGAATCCATCAAACACTGACAGCACTATTTCAAGCTCAGAAGTTTTGCTGTTCTTTTTTTTCCCCTTTATTCATGGTGGGGCACATGTACACACGTGTGTGTGAGAGAGAAAGCGAGCATGTGTGCTAGTGCACAGAGGGAGGAGAGGAAGAGAAAGAGAGAGTGCAGGGGGATGGGAGGAAGAGGGAAGAGAGGGAGGGAGAGAAGTGAGCAGCCTGTACAGAGTCTGGTCACACTGTTACCTCCTTCCTCCAGCCCTCCAGTCTGCTGCATCCCGGATGCTAGCATGTTCCCAGCATACCTTAGACGGACTGGGTCACGTACTGGGTTGCCATGTGAGATTCAACTTCTCCTGAGTGGTGCGTTACTGTTGTGCCACGAAGCTGGCTCTGGCTTAGTAGCCTTTTGAGAGTGGCTATTCTGAGCCGGCCTCAGGCTGGCGAAGCTTCTCCGTGGTTAATTTCAAACCGGGGAAATGACTCTACTTTCGATACCTGTAAAGGTACTGAAGCAGTGTTACTTTGGTTCCAGTGTTGTAAAAGTTTATTGATGGAACATTTCTTTGAGTTACTATGTTTATCCTTTCTTATATAATGTGTATGTGTGCTCAAGTGAGACTGGGGAGGTTTTGGAGAGTAGTTGTCATCATGGTACCCAGGTTTCACGCTTCTCTCCTTCATCTCGGGCTTATCAGTCAGAGTCCATCCTTTCTTGCCTAGCAGTGAATTCTTCAGTTACCCAAACAAATAGACTGTATTAAGATGATAAAGAAATACCAAATTAAAAAAATTGTTTTCCTTTATTGCCATGATATCTCCAATAGCAGGAGCATTTTTATAGTTGCTCTCTTTACGCCTTACCTTAATGTCGGTCATTAGCACTACTCATTCGGTTGGTAGGCAGACTGTGACAGTTTGATACAGTATTTGAGATGGAAAGACCAGCTGTTCTCTGGAATTTAATTGTACTTTAAAGGACACTTAAAGTACCGATTCTTCTCCTGGGCTTCCATCCTCAAGGCATAGTGCATAGTCCTTAGGACAAACTCATTTTCTATAGGCCTGAAACCTAAAACCATAATAATTGCACTTTTGTATTTTACAGTGTGTGGACCAGTTGACAAAGATCCAAACCGAATTACAAGAGACAGTGAAAGATCTAGCAAAAGGCAAAAAGAAGTACTTTGAGACTGAACAGATGGCTCATGCAGTACGAGAGAAAGCTGACATCGAGGCAAAGTATGTGTTTTAGCATTTCTGAGAAAATGATTATGCAAATAAATGTTATCTTCGCTAATACTTTGTTCTCTGTTTTTACAGGACATAGGCTCATTCTTAGGTTGTGTTGGTTTCATTTGACCTACCTATGTTAGGTTCTTTAGATCATATTTTTCTTTTGTATTGGCTGATTTTTATCTAAATTAATTTAGTAAAATGGAAATATTTAATCAGTTGTTTTTTTGCAGTAAAATGAATTTTAAATAGGGAAGGAAGATAAATGAACATAGTGTTTACAGACTTGAAAGCTTATCAAGTCTCATTAAAGTTGCTATGGTGTTTGAATATCAAAGTTTAAGAGTCTAATTTTTCTCCTACTAGACTCGCAATAAGTTGTAGCTGGAAATCCCTATGATCCTCCAGATGTCTCTGAAGGACTGTGGACACCTGCTCCAAGAGCTGTTTTGTCTTTTATGTGAAATTCTAGTACTTATTTTTAAAATATATCCTTTAGTGATTGTGCATGAATTTCACTTTCAGTATATGTGAACCTTTATTTTGAGGTAACTAGGAAGAAGGAACTAGCATTGGTAGAAGGATATGTATATAAAGTAAGAGTTAAGAGTAAAGATTTTTGTAATGACAGCTTGAAAGGTTAAAAATTTAATGAGGAAAAAATGAATGGATGTTCTAGAACTGGACTCTGCTGGAACCTGTGGGTAGGAGAGCTGAGATTCCTGACTGATGTAAAATATGGGGGTCTGACCCCCTAGACCTGAAATCAGAAAGGCTTTGATCATTTTTACAGACAGACCAGTAAGAATGGAAGTGTTTTCCTAATAGATTTGTTATCTGCAAGAAATTTAAGTGTCCTATGAACACTCAAGAGCTTCCAGAAAGTTTATTTAGTACCAAGGAATGGTAAATGCGTGCTCAATGAGTACCTGGTGTTGTGGGAAAACATATTTAATATTTCTCTAGTTTAGCTTATTGTCTTTGTTATTTTACTTTTGAGCATGCAGGTATTTCCTGTACTTTCACAGAACCAGTGTACGCACCTTCCCAATAAGACCTAAAGTTTATAGCTTAGCTCTCCATTAGGAATATCCTGTCAAGAGGGGTTTTTTGTTTGGTTGTTTTTTGTTTTTTTATAAATAGCATTAAGACAATTTAAAGAATTATTTTATTTGACTTTATTTATTTATTCATTTTCACTTGACCAGAGAAGGACAGAGGCAGGGAGGTGGGGAGGGGATTTGGAGCAAGAAAGCAAGCTGCCAGGTCCAAGACTCAAACCACGGTCGGCCATGTGGGAGTCCAGCACCCTTAACCACCATGTCACCTGTTTGCCCCCTGTCATGAGGTCTTTTAAACTTTTAGGGATTCTAGAATAGGGAATTGACCGATTTGTAAATCATGTGTAAGTACCTAATTTAGCCATGTGTAAGTACCTCATCTTCACAGGGTTTCTCTTATAGTAAGGTGAAATTAATCTCTCCATTTTCTTCATTCTTATTCTTCTTCTTCTTTTTTTTTTTTTTTTGGAGAAGTTTTCGCTATAGGGTGCATGCACTCACGGGAAAGACAGAGAGACACAGAGAGACAGAAAGCAAGAAATCACCCCCCAAGGGGGATGGCCACGCTGAAATCCCTTCTCCTCCATTCTCCTCTCGGGATCTTGGGCACACACGCACACATGCCCGGCATGAGTTTAAGCCACCATGTCCAGGACTCAACTACGGTTGACTACATGTGAGTCCAGCTACATAACCATTATGCTAACTGCTGGTCCCCAGAAACCCTTATATGAAGTAACATTGGGGCAGAGTCTTGAAGAATGAACATGAGTTTTCCAAATAGATGTGAGAAGACCAAGAATGGAAAAGTGAAACTGGACCACATATAGTTTTTGTTTTTTTTTTTAATTTAAATTTATTTGTTTACATTCATTCACTGTACATCATTACAGCATACAAAATGAGATTTTCCATCCAGAGTACACTGTATATTGGCTCAATCAAGCACATTAACTTACATGTTATTGTCAACAAATAATTTTCCACTTCTTGTTTCCTGTATGTTTTGCTTTTTCTCCCCCATCCTTGATTCCCTATCTCTTACCCTCTGCCATCTCCCACTCTATTCCCACACTGTCTCTAGTATCTGTGTCTACTTTCTATACTGTTCCCCCCCATTTTTTATTGAATTACTAAATATCTTAATCTAAATATTTTCATAGCAAACACAGCTGATATATACATTTCCATGAACACAAGTCTAACTTTAGGCATCCTATGAAGTAGTACCTAGCTGGGGCTATATATCTTACTGCGGTCATCGAATGGATTTTTTTTTCTGAAACTTTTTTTTTTTGTAACTTAATTTACATTCTTTCC